TCAGCCCATGGCGCTCTCCTTGGTGCCGCAGGGGCTTGAGCGAGCTGCGTGCGCACAGCCTCCACCTGGGCACGAATGGCTGCCCGCGCCACCTCGAAGTTGCTGGAGCCCCAAGCCTCGGGCAGCTTGTCCAGCTGCAAGAGGAGCCCAGGGACCTGGCTGGACCCTGCCCACTCTGCCGCGCGCTGACACCGCTGCGCCTCGGCCTCCACTCGGGCATCCTCCTCGAGGGCGCGGAACGCACGGGAGGCTTCCTCCACCTCCGTGCCGAGCTGCGCCAGCTCCTGCCGGGCCTTCTGGAGCTGGGCCTCGGCGAGGTCGCGCGCCGCTTGTTTCTTCTCCAGGCTCTGGCGCGCGGCTCGGAGCCGCTTCTCGCCCTTGTTTGTGGCGTTCGCCTCCTTGTGGAGCAGCGTCGACAGCGGCAGGGAGGACGCCTTCTGCTCCGCTGCTGCCCGATGGGCCTCGACCAGCTCGGCGCGCTTGGCCTCCAGCTGGCTGGTGACGACGTCGGTGAAGCAGCTGTCAACTCCGTCGGGCGGCTCCGCCTGCAGCGCCTCCAGCTGCTCGACTGCTACCTGCAGCCTCTCGATCGCCGTGGCGCCGCTGCCGCTGGGCGTCCCACTGCCGCCCGATGCCGAGGTCTGCGACTTAGCGGGGGCCGCACTCGTAGCCGCACTGCGGGCCTGTCGCTGGGCACGGCGCCCTCGTGGCTGATCCACCCAGCCGTCCTTGTCCGCCTGGGGCCTGGCTCTGGCCGCTGCAGCATCCAGCGCCCAAGGCGGTGCCGCGTAGCCGCAGCCGAGGCACGTGGTGCGCCAGTCCCATTTCCAACCACCGCAGCTGCACATCCAGTACGTCTTGCTGCGCCTGCTGCCACCGCCGCCGCTGCGCGAGGAGCGCGCCATGGCCACTGCCGCGCTAGCCGACTGGTCGCGCCTCCGCGCGGAGACAGCAGGGAGCGAAACAACGAATTGCACTGGCCCCAAACGAGGAGACCCTCGCACTCGGAACGCCGCGGACGACTTGCGGTCGTCAGGTGTTCCATGGCCATGAATCAACATGGCTACGGATGCACATGCGTGTTCTGCCATGCTCCTGAGTGTTCTGCCGTGCTCCTGCGTATTCTGTGTGTTTTGCCGTGTTCCTCGTGCTCCTGTGTTATGCTGTGCTCCTGTGTTCTGCCATGCTCCTATTTGTTCTGCCATGTTCCTGTGTGTTCTTTGGGTTCTGCCGTGCTCCTGTGTGTTCTGCCGCGCTCCTGTGTGTTCAGCCGTGCTCTCGCGCGTTCTGCAATGCTTCTATGTGTTTGGCTGCCGTGATCCTGCCCACTTTCTGGAGATGTCCCAGACGAAAAGCTCAGTTTAAACATGCATGGTTCTAAATCCGCCTTTTCAGCATTTCGTTGTTTCGACGATGTCTCAGGCGATGAAGCAATATCTGGATAATTCTAAGAATAAGAAAAACAGGAAGAATAATAATCACTGCGCATGGGCTCCAGGTTCCCACAACAACCAAGAATCTGGACTTCCCTTCGGCGTTCTCTTCGGGCCCCGCTTCTTCGTGGGACGTCCGTGTGTAGTCTTTCAGAGAACGCCTGGAGTGAAATTACCTAACAGATTGTTCTAATAGGTTTCTAGTGGTGTCAAAAGAGAGTAGCAGATGACTCCACAGGGGGGTCTGGGCGGGTGCCGGACAGGGTGCCGCAGAAGTCGCTTTAAGCTAACAGTCACACACTTCGTGCTCTTCGACCTCCCAGAACTCCATTCCCGGGCCACATTCTGAATGCCCGGAGCCAACTGTAAGCCACTTCGTGCTCTTCGACTTCCCAGAACTCCATTCCCGGGCCACATTTTGAATGCCCGGAGCCAACTGTAGGCCACTTCGTGCTCTTCGAGTTCCCAGAACTCCATTCCCGGGCCACATTTTGAATGCCCGGAGCCAACTGTAGGCCACTTCGTGCTCTTCGACTTCCCAGAACTCCCATTCCTGGGCCACATTTTCAGCAGGGGCAAGAGCACGACGAGGAGGAGGACGAGCAAGACCAGGAGGACGAGGACGAGCAGGAGCAGGACGAGGAGCAGGAGGAGCAGGAGAAGAAGGACGAGCAGGAGGAGGAGGAGGAGGAGGAGGAGGACGACCAGGAGGAGGAGGACGACCAGGAAGAGGAGGAGGAGGAGGAGGGGAGGGGGAGGACTACCAGGAGGAGGAGGAGGAGGAGGAGGAGGAGGAGGAGAGGAGGAGGAGGAGGAGGAGGAGGACGAGGAGGAGGAGGAGGAGGAAGGGGGGGGAGAGCACCAGGAGGAGGAGAACGAGGACCACCAGGAGGAGGAGGAGGAGGAGGTTTTACTTAACAGCTCTTGCTGATAAGTTTCTAGTGGTCTCAAAAGAAAGCATCATGACTCCTCAGGAGGGTCTGGGCGGGACCCGGACAGGCTGCCGCCGCGGCTGCCGCCGCATTCGTTTTTTGCAAACAGTCACACACTTCGTGCTTTACGACCTCCCAGATGTCCATTCCCGGGCCACATTCTGTATGCCCGGAGCCAACTGTAAGCCACTTCGTGCTCTTCGACTTCCCAGAACTCCATTCCCGGGCCACATTTTGGATGCCCGGAGCCAACTGTAGGCCACTTCGTGTTCTTCGATTTCCCAAAACTCCATTCCCGGGCCACATTTTGGATGGCCGGAGCCAACTGTACGCCACTTCGTGTTCTTCAAGTTCCCAGAACTCCATTCCCGGGCCACATTCTGAATGCCCGGAGCCAACTGTAGGCCACTTCGTGTTCTTCGACTTCCCAGAACTCCATTCCCGGGCCACATTTTGAATGCTGAGGCAGGCTGATGCTGCGGCCGAGGCAGGCTGAGGCTGAGGCAGGCTGAGGCTGAGGCCGAGGCTGAAGGCAGACTGAGGCTGAGGCTGAAGCAGGCTGAGGCTGAGGCTGAGGCTGAGGCAGGCTGAGCTGAGGCAGGCTGAGGCTGAGGCTGAGGCTGATGCAGGCTGAGGCTGAGGCTGAGGCTGAGGCCGAGGCTGAAGGCAGACTGAGGCTGAGGCTGAAGCAGGCTGAGGCTGAGGCTGAGGCAGGCTGAGTCTGAGGCAGGCTGAGGCTGAGGCTGAGGCAGGCTGAGGTTGAGGCTGTGACTGCGACTGCCGTTGCCGCTGCGACTGTCATCGCGAATGCGACTACGACTGCGAGAACAGCAGAATTCTACAACTGGATTTTCATTTGAATCTTAAGGGGAATGCTTTCATATATGCTTCTATACATCGCTGTTAGGTTGCTTTGCCGGGATAATCCACTTTCTCGGCGTAGAGTTTTCTTGACTCCAAGCAGGGGTTTACGTAATCCGATCGGCGCGGGCGTTTGGAATGCGGGACGGGAAAATGACCACAGCCACTTCTTCTTGTTTGCGCCACCTTCCAGCCGGCCGAAAAAGAAGCAGTGGTTGTGGTCATTTCCCTGGTGCCAAGCTCAACGAAAATGACCACAACCACTGCTTTGTTTCTGCGGGCTGGAAGGCGGCAACAAAAGAAAAGCAGTGGCTGTGGTCGTTTTCACGCCCCGTATGGAGGTGGTGCGGCGCTGGACGCCCGGCGGAGCGAGGCAGGCACGGGGAGGCGAAGAGCGGCCAGGGCCTTGGGGGCCGGGGCGCGGCTCCGACCTGTGCGGCCGCGTGGGGGAGGGCGCGCGGAGGGCCCACTGGTCGGCAGCGGGCGAGGGGGGGAAGCGAGAAGGAGAGGGCCTTCTCGGAAGGCGGCGGGGTTTCTCAGGAGCCCACACGCGCCTGCTGGAAGGTTCTCTGCGTTCCCGGGGGAGGTGTCGCAATTTTCTCAGGAGGCCGGGAGACTTCCGAGAGCCTTCAAAGAAGGTCCGCCCCTTCTCACTTCCCCCCCTCGCTCGCCGCCGAATTTGGGTGATCCCGCGCGTGTTGGTCAAGATCCACTACACTCAGACAAGACGATCAGCAACCTTGCGTGGATAAATCGGATGGCGCACTTCCCGTATCGATGTTCGGCTTCTTGTAGTGGACGGCTCGGTGGCTGGTGCGATGGTTGTTGCTGCTCTGCCTACGCAATTGCACGGTACCCAAACAAATCTAAAGAACACCACTCCGTAATCTACACGGTGGTCCGCTGGTTGTGCAGAGGGCCCCCCGCCCCGCTAACCAACATCTGGAATTACGACATGGTGGTCAGAAATTTCGGGCTCACGTTTCGATGCCTCGAGCGGTTCCCGCACATCGGCTCAACCACCGGCGCCCCAGCCACCATCCTGGCCATTTGAAAAACTTCGTTGGGCGCGCCGACGGATCCCGAGGTCAGCCGGGAGAAAGCGAACAATCCGCGAGGCGCCCGCTGGCAGGCCCGCCTCGTCTGCTAAAGGTGCCGGCTGCAATCCCTGAGGTTCCTCATGCTGATTTCTTCGATGCAGTCGGGGTTGATGGGAGAGGACACGCGGGAGGACACAAGGCCCTTCCGAGGGCCACATTGCCATAAGAACGTAGACAGCATGGGTCGCGAAACACAGGGCACAAGACTACCCTTGAGTTGACAGGGTCGACCTACTGATCGACCTCGACTGTGCGGGGTCCCTGGAAATCCCAGCACCTTCCCCGAGGCCAACTTCACATGAAGAGACGTGTTTTGTTCGGGTTCTACTGACCCGGGTCAATCCAGACCCAGGCCAGTCAAGCTTTGCAGGATCCTGCAAGATCCTGCAGGATCCTGCACCCAAGCCAGTGTCAGTGCATCCCTGGCCCTGCAGGATCCTGCAAGATCCGGCGCTCTCACTGACCCCCGTTTGCATTGACCCCCGTCCCTTGAGCACCGATATGCGGGGGTTCTAGAAATCCCAGCCCTTTCCACGAGGCCAGCTTCGCATGAAGAGACGTGCTTTGAAGGCCGCAGGGCCCGGCGAGGGGCCGAAGACGACGGCAGGCCTCCGCACTGGGGTTGCAGGTCTGGGCGAGGAGAGTGCTGCAGGCAGGCAGAGGGCGCCCCGCGCCTCGAAGGTGCTGGCCAGGACCATCAGGGTCACGCCGATGACGGTGTGGGAGAGGCTGGTGCCGCCGCCAACCTCGGGGGGCGTCGGGAGGCAGCTCCTGGGAGGCCTTCGTGCAGACCGCTACACCAGAAAGTATTCTGAGGAGTACTTCCACCCGAGAAGACACACTCTGCAAGTCTCGTGTTGTTATGACTGGAGGTCAAGGTGCAGGTCTGGAAAATCAGCAAAACAAAACTACAGGAAAGCAGCAGGAGCAGGCTGCCGAAGCGCGACCACAATATTGGGCCAACAGGCCGGATCAGCCCAGCTTGAGCCCAAGACTGCGTCAGATGAGTAAGGGAAACCAAGCCAGATTGGGCAGGATTGGGCCAGTTTTCCACCCAGCGCCGACACACGCACGAGAGGCGAACGTATCCATATTGACGACCTCGCGGACTGGACTTGAGGGCGCGATCCCGTGGATACACGGTCACCTTCTACGCGCAGTGCGGGGGGCATCCGCACAAGAAACACCCTGTGTCCACGGGGTCGTTCGGGGCCCATAGGGGCACGGACCTCTGGCAGGAAGTGGGGATCCAAACGTACGCAGCGCGCAGCCTCCATCCCGGACACCTGGTGCTCGGAGGAACAAATCGAAACGGCCGGCCTGCCACTGTTTGGCGTCATGGGGGCCGTTTCCAAATGTTCTGGAGCGTCGAGGAGAACGACTCTGGATAGACGACCCACCAGGGGAAAGGGCCGAGAGGTCCAGGGGCCCGCTCGTCGACGAAACCTGAGCCGGAGACGCATGGAAACTTCAGTTGCGCAGGGGGGGGGGAGGGAGTTGGATTGAAGAGCCGAGGCTCAGAAAGGAAGGTTGCAGAGGCTCGTCGTTCTTTGAGACGCAGGGTGGTCATGCTCGCGGGGTCTTGGGATTCCCTCGCAGACTGCGCGGCGTAACGGTGCGTACGGGCACATCCCATCACACATGCTAACAAGCAACAAAGTTTGAGGACAAGGGTCTGAACTTAGCATATATATATATATGTGTATATATATATGTATAACAACTCGAAGCCCGTGTAGACTAGATCAGTTCTGAAATATTGAAGCTAGGGGTTTAAATAGAAAGCGGAATATCCACAACAGAGACCCACGTTTGAACAGATCATTAAGAAACACTCCCGAAGAAAAACAAACCTGGCCCGAAAGCTGGCACAGTTTCTTAAGGGCCCAGTGGGAGAGACTCAAACCAGAAACTTCAAGAACGAGAGGTGAATCAGTTTTCGAAGTGACGGACAAATGGCACTAGGCGGGTTGCGTTCGCTCTGTGGTGTAGGTTCGACAAGCATAACACATGTTCTGGGATGCATGTTATGCTTCCTGTGGTCCACAGGTTCGCCTGAAACTTTCAGGAAAAAGTCTTCTTTCTCTGGCTTCCTGGTGCCCGATGTCCTCCTTTTGCTTCAATCTCCCGTTATTGCTTCAGACATCTAGCGTTCCTCCTTAGCGTCCGAATATCGTTAAGATCGGTTCCTATATATATATATATATATATATGTATATGTATTTGTATGTATATATACACACTTATACAAACAAAAAACCGCCGATCTGGCGTGTGAGTTTCTGAGATCGTGGATTTGAGCTCGCTCAAGCTTCGCTCTGCAGGGGGAGGTGTGGGGGGGGGACGCCTTTCCCGACGCATTTAGTGCGGGGGGGGCCACAAGCCCCCAAGAAGCCCCCAGGAGGCTCTGGAAGGGGGGGGTGGGACACCATTCCCGACGCACTTAGTGCTCACAAGCTCCCAAGAAGCCCCAAGGAAGCCCCAGAAGGCCCCCAAGAGGCCCGAAAGAGGCCCCAGAACGACCCCAAAAGTCTTCCCCAGGTCCCTTACTCAATGCCCTGAGCCTCAGTCCTCACGCCTGAGGACTTTGATGGGCCCGGACTCGGACCCTTAGCTCTCAAATCTCTTGAGGCTCCCCGCGCGCCCTCTGGGGCACCCAGAATGTTCCCGCATGACTTTTTCGAGCCCAAGAGAAGCCCAAGACGGGCCAACAGGGCAAAAACAGGCCCTCAAGACCGCCCAAGAAAGCCCCGAATCACCGAGTGATCGGTCCAAGACGCCCAAGATGGCCCGATAGCCATTACCATGATAAACATCATCATCATCATCAGCATCAGCATCAGCATCAGCATCAGCATCAGCATCATCAGCATCATCATCATCATCGTCATCATCATCATCATCACCACCACCACCATCATCATCAGCATCATCCTCATCCTCATCCTCATCCTCATCCTCATCCTCATCCTCATCCTCATCCTCATCCTCATCCTCATCCTCATCCTCATCCTCATCCTCATCATCATCATCATCATCATCATCATCATCATCATCATTATCTGGGGCGCCCCGGATCGGCGGCACTGGCAGGAAGCCAGCACAATAGTCACACAACGTGTATCGCTGATCGCTCCCAACGCTTACGTGAGCAAGTGAGTCGGAGATTTCCCAATTACAACTATGAGTGATACAAGTCGTCCAATTGGTCATGTTGTATTTAAAGGGATGACGAGAGCGTTTTTTTATTTTCGGCGATGACGGGCGTCATGGGGGGGGGGGGGGGCGAAGGGGGGTATGACGTAACGCCCCCCCTCCCCGCCGTGTGGCTCCGACGCCGCGCCCGCGCGCACGACGACGATGCGCGACGAGCGACGAGCGACGAGGACGAGGACAACGACGACGACAACGACGACGACGACGACCACGACGACGACAACGACGACGACAACGACGACGACGACGATTACGCGAGCATCATGAAGGTGGCGATCTGCCCCACAGCGTTTGTGTACACCACACTGCTCGATTACACCACAGCGCGCGCGTACACCACAGAGCCCACGTACAGCGTAATAGCCGTGTGCACCACAGCGCCTGTGTACACCACAGCGCTTGTGTGCAATACAGCACTGGTGCACACCACAGCGAATGTGTACACCGCAGTAACCATGTGCTACACAGCGCCTGTGTACACCACAATGCTTGCGTGCACCGCAGCGCCTGTGCACACTACGCTGTCCGTTTACACCACAGCATCCGCGTGCAACGCAGGGCTGGTGTACACCACAGCGCCTGCGTGCACAGGACAAGTAAAAGGAGCATGTAAGTGAGGATCTGCTGCGGACAGCTAAACGCGACGCCAGGGAAGTTTTGATAATATAATGCGACGTTTGTCCCTCCTTCCTCCTCCTCCACTTCCACCTCCTCCTCCTACTCCTCATACTTTACTCCTGCTCCTCCTCCTCCTCCTCGTCCTCCTCCTCCTCCTCCTCCTCCCTCACCCTTCCCCACTGTCGTGGGTGTCGGCGCTACAGCGCACGTGCGCATTTCAGCGTGCACCGTGGAATGGTTTAACGGCCACTTTAGCTGGAGTCTCCTGGACACAGATGGGAAGAATTAGGATGATGCCGGCGGACACTGGAGGACTCGTAGATTCTAGCGGCATTCCTTTTTCAATCGGGATTGTTTTCCAATCCTATGAGCCACAATTGTTTTCTGTGGAATCCACAGGCGTACGACAGTGGCGCTCTGTTGTACACAATTGCTCCAGTGCGCACAGGCGCCGTAGTGCACACAAGCGCTGTGGTGCACGCAGGCATTGTGGTGTACACTGGTGCTGTGTTGCACACGGCTGCTGTGGTCTACGCAGGCGCTGTGGTTCACACAAGCGCTGTGGTGCCCGCAGGCACTGTGGCACACACTGGCGCTGTGTTGCACGCGGCTGCTGTGGTGTACATAGGCGGTGTGGTGTACACGGGCGCTGCGGTGCACTCAGGCACTGTGGTGTACACAGGCGTTGTAGTGCAGATCGCCACCTACATGCTGCTGCTACCCGTTCTTGGTAATTCCTAAGCACTCCCAAACACCGCCGGCGCGACACGTGACGTCATCGGCCCCCTCCAACCCCCCAGGACGATTGCCGTCATCAACCCAGAATTAGAAACAGGCTCCAGCCGCGTCCGCGCGCACGACGACGATGAGCGACGAGCGGAGAGTGACGAGCGACGACGACGACAACGACGACGACAACGACGACGACCACGATGACGAAGACGCCGACGAAGACGACGACGACGACGACGACGACGACGACGACGACGACGACGACGACGACGACGACGACTGCGGACCAGACTCCTGTGCGGATTCTTATGCGGACACCTCTGCGGATCCCGATGCGCACGGCGGCAGTGCCCGGAGCGCACTGGGGGGGGGGGCGTTACGTCATAGGAGGGGGAAGCGGCGGGGGCCATGACACCCGTCATGCCCCAAGCAATGAAGAAACGCGCTCCAATTACGTCGTTGTGAGAATACGTATGTCACTACTATAGTCGGCACTGTGTTTAATCTGTGAAGGTCCTGTTTTTCTGCTGGGTGACTCTGCAATCTGCGGTGGCTGTAACGGTACGCTCGCACTGAGGAACATCTAGGCCCAGCCCCGCACCTCCCTCGATTTCGCAAGCAAGACGGGGGGCACAGCGCCCCGTCCGACGAGAGCAGCAGCAGCAGTAGGAGCAGGAGAACGTAGAGAGGGAGTGCGACGAGAAGGACAGGGTGCGGCTGCTCAGCTGGGTGCGGCCTTTCAGCCAGGTGCGGTTGCTCAGCCGGGCTGGCCGCGAGGAGCAGCCCGAGTGCAACCTACACTGCGCCTCTTGACCGGGATCCGGATGGCATCATAAATGCTCAGCGGTGGCAAACGGTGGCGGGCTAACGAAAAAAAACGCAGCGGAGATCGGAGCGGAGGGCCCCCCAAAAAGTGCTCGATGGTAGCATTGTGTGCAGAGTGGGAACAGATACTCGAGCACTTTTTGAGGAACAGCGCGCTCGCGCATGTCGACAATAAAACATAATGTGAGACAAATGCAAGTGCGGCCTTGGCTGTCAATCGAGAAGCCGACCAAGAAAGGCATGGGCGTTCAGCACGGTCACGTCACCACCCCGCGCAGTGCACAGGAGCAGGAGTCAAGCACCCCGATGACTTCCATGACGCAGCCGGCCGTGGCCTCAAACTGCCAGATCCCAGGGTCCGGGGCCTCCGTCGTCGTGATGTCTTTCATGCGTGGCCCACCCCGGCCCCTCGACTTGGCGGCGCGCAAAAGGGGGTAGAGGGAGGGGGGAAGGCTTCTTAGAAGCACCCTGCTTCTTAGACGGCCTCGTCCTCACGTCTGTAGACAAGGCCCGCGCCTTCGAAGGAGCAAGGGTGCTTCTGAGAAGCCTTCCCCCCTCCCCCTACCCCCCTCTGCGCGCCGCCAATCGACCCCCCCTCCCCGGGGGGCCGGTACCTTCCTCGCCGCTCGCGCCTGCCGTCCGGGGGGGCCCGAGGCGGGCCTCCGAGGCACGCCCGGAGGCGGCAGGCCAGGGGCCGGCGCGCCGACCGCTCGGAGGCCCGGGGGAGGCCGCCCACGCCCCGGGCGGCCTCTCTCGTGGCCCTCCCGCGCAGTGTGAAGTCGGGCGTGTCCCTCCTACAGGGGGGAATTTGGACGGAGAATGAAAAATACCCCAAGAAATACCCAAAAGATGCCCCAAAACAGTCAAAAAAGAGTCCCCAGACTATTTTTTGACTATTTTTGCATATTCCCCCCGTAGAGGGACAGGCCCGACTTGAGCGGAGGGAGCAGTTTGGCGAAGCGCTGATCTGGGAGGGCGGGTAGGGAATCGAAGCTCTGGCCTCTCAGACCTCTGCGCAAGACATTCGTGGGCAGCAGTGCCTCTCCTCGACCCCGTCCTCGTCCACGTCCTCGTTGTCAACGTCGTCGTTGGTTCTCCTCCTCGTCGTCGTATAAGAGACCCCCCCCCGGCGCGGAACCTCCACCGTAATATAAACAGATTGGCAAAGCGCATAAGGGCGCACAAGGAATTCAACCCCTTGGCCTCTCCTTTTCGAGCAACCAGCTACGAAAGTGTGTGCTTAATCGGTCGTCCTGCCGAAGACATTCGCGAGCAACCGTACCTCCCTCCTACACCGCCTCATCCCTCAGCCACAACCCCCCCGCATCCCCCCCACCACACTCGCCCCGTACTCCCCGCGCGCAACCCTGCGCGCTAGGGGCGACGGCCGCTGCATTGGCGCCAGGTGGGGCGCCTCACTGCCTCAGCTTCGTGCGCGCGGCGGAGCGCTGCGCGAGCAGACTGGCTGCTGGACGCTGGTCGGAGCAACTGCGGACCTCACTGGCCGTCGGGGTTGGCGCCCAGATCGTTGGCTTTGCCCTCCAGCACGAATGGCTTGTTGAGCGGGTTGCGCACGCGCAGCCTCTTCGGGTTCCCCATGTTTGCGGCGAGGCCCTGGACGGCGGCGGTGGAGATGTTTATTGGCGCCTGGATCTGCGACACCATGGACCACTGCTTCTTCTGGTGCCACGCGCCCTGGAACTCGACCGCCGCAGCGGGGGTCGTGAAGTTGACAAACCCGTGCCCGCGGCCCAGCTTGGAATTCAGATCCCGAGGCATGTAGCAGAAGTCGAGCCGGCCCTCGAAGCCGCCGAGGTGGATCTCACTCACGAGGTTGTCCTGCGTCAGCCATTTGGGCAGGTTGCGCAGCATCAGGGTCGTCACCCCCGACGCCCCGCCTGGCGCACGGGGTGCGGCTGGCTGCCGTCTGCCAGCCCTGTCCCTCTCGAGCAGGCTGCCTTCGCCTGGGCCGAGACCTGGGGCCCCGCTCGGGCGCGTTGGCAGGGCTTCTGCGATCTCCGTGCTGTCCCGCGCCTGCTCCGCCGGCGGCGGCAGCGGCGACGGCAGGCCCTCGAACTCAAGCTCGAGGAGCGCTGCCCCAGGCTGCTCGGTCCACGCTCCCAGGGGTGGAGATGCTCCTGCCCAGTACTCAGCCATCGGCGACGACCCCGCCTCGCCCAAGCAGGATGGGTCGGACACGGGCAACGTAGTGAATGACATTGTCTCCCACGAGGTCATCGCAGCCGGGTTGCCAAATTGACCGCCAGAAGAGAAACCGTCAAAGCGACATTCACCCAGGAGACCGTCGCCATGCGTACAGATACAGTACGGTGTCGCACCCATTCCATCGCTGGTGGCCATCTGAACGAGTGGGATCGTAGCCAAGTGGCTGCTCGGCGACCAATTGCACTCGTCGTCTTCGTCATCCGTGTCGGGCCACGGCTCGCTCATGTAGACCTCGGGCTCGAGGCTCTCCACGGTGTTGCTGCCGCACGTGGAGACCAGCTCGGACGAGACCGGGGCGTGCGGACTTGATGACCGCGAGCCGGAGCGGCCGCGCTGCTCCTGAAGGCTGTAAGGGACGTAACCAGCGAAGCTGCGGCTGCGCGCCTGGCGGCGGGGCGGGGGCCCGAACGTCTCGAAGGTGTTGCCGAGGGGAGCGAGCCGGGACTCGGCCGGGGTGCACGCCATGCCGGCGGCAGGCTGTCGGAGCTGGACGGTGTCGAGAGAGCGCGCTCTGGTGGCCAGCTCGGTGCCAAGGTGGGCGTCCGCAAAGCCCCTCCCGAGTGGCCCCTGCTGCTTGAGCCCAAATGGCTACGGACTGTGTTGAGTATTTGAACGTCCTGTAAGCATTCAGCGCGCTAGTTTCCCAATACAGAGAACCTGTAGTATTCTCCAGCTGAAGTAGCTGTTAGGATTGTTTGAGTGTTTCTGCTTGAATGTGATCCTGATTCACTGCGTTCCCTTCATGGTGTTGGATACTTTACGATAGCAGTCTGAATGATTCCCCGTCGTATTCCAAGGGTGTCCAGGCATTGAATGATCAAATATTTGGACAGTTGTTTAAGTGTAAGGTTCGGTACATACTCCTTGAGCAATCCTGTATGCCAAGTTTGTTATTTTTTCATAAGCGAAGATACAATTATATCCGAAGCTCTCATTGTGTGCCGCTGTGGTTTTGGTTTCGTGGGTTCACAAAGTTGGGCAACATGTTCCAGGATTCAGAAAGAAAGGTTTCTTCATCTCTTACGGTGTCCAAATATGGAATGATCGATTACTTGATTAAACGGGAGCATGAACGGTTTCTTCATTGCCATAACTATTACAGTGGAGCTACATCATCATACGGAGCAGAAGGGTTTCAGGCGAACCATTCGGTTCAGGCAACGAGTCTGCAGGTCTGAAGGGAACTGCCGAAGGTTGGCGCCGACGAGAAAGGCTTCGAGTGTAATGTCTCTTACTCCTTTAGGACCCAGGGTTATGTAGATTCCCAGGCACAGACCGCTTGTTGAGAAAACGGGATTTCAAGGGTATGTTTTCTTAGGCTAATGTGTCGTGGCGTGCGTGCGAAGATGAATGCGACTGCCCATGGCCTTTGAACCCTTTTCGGGCACACTGGTGTCCTCCTGCTCCCCCTTGGCGCTCAAAAGGCTTGCGAAGGGTCCTCTTCCCCAAAAGTAGCCTCCAAGAGGTCTTCAACAAATTGGTAAGAAAGTAGCCTGACGATGGGGCCAACACCATGCATCTGCACGTAGCGCAGGGCATGGCCCTTTGACCATATCCTGCGCACGACGGGGGGGAGAAAATTCGCGGCATCGCGGGCAAGATGCCGCGGAATAGGCGCGCGGATGCGCGCAGAACTCCCTATGGGGCGCGATCTGTGCAAGGGGCGTGCCAATGTCGGCGGGGGGGCGAGAGCCATGCGTGCACACAACAGTATGCTGGATACTGCAGGTGTCACAGTATCCGGCGAGCAACCTAGCATGTCTGCGAGCACGGGCAATGAGCCCCGAACGCCACAGCAGCGTGCCAATAGCCTGCGAACACCACGGTCACGGGAAAACGCCACGCAGGCGCTACATCCGCTGTAGAACGCGCGCGCGCTGCGGCAGTGCCGGGGGCGTGGTGCGGGAGGTGGATGGGGCGCTCAGCTACGGGGGAGGCTTGCGGCGGGGACCATACCGCGCGTCGCGGCCCAGGCAGAAAGAGGCAGAAACCGAATGCGGTCACGTGCAATGTCAGAGAAAGACGGCCCCGGGGATCTTAGTATCCCAATCGGTTGCTGTATTGCGCTGGGGCGCGACGCAGGCCTCCTGATGACCAAACTGGCGATACACCAAACACGCATTACTTTTGGCGCCGCGGCCACGCGCGCAGCGGCGGGGCGTAGAAAGTCGGGCAAAGAAACGCATGCGGACACACACACACACCAACACATACACACGCACACACAAACACACACACACACACACACTCACACACATATATATATATACACACACGCACACACACGTACACACACGCACACACAATCACACACACACACAATCACACACACACGCACTTGTTTTGGCGCCGCGGCCTCGCGCGCATCAGCGAAGACGAGGCGTAGAAAGTCTAGCCGAGAGGCCAAACCCCCCATAAAGTTGGGCAAAGATCAAACCATAGATCACCCGTGCCATCCGCATACCCTGGCATGGGCATCGAGGGGTGGGACGAGGAAACGGACAGTCCGAACACAGCGATGACCGACAAGGGGAGGCGCAGTGCCGCTTTAAATTGACGCGGGCGACGAATCCACACATACACATACTCTCTTTTCCTTCGACGCACGCACACACCCACACACCCCGCCTCCACACCCACGCACCCCGCGACGTCTGGACGTGTGGTCCCCGCCTCTCGTGAAACCCCTAGCCCAGCCTCCTCTCAACTTTCTCCGCTCGTCGACGCGGGGCCTTGGAGTCGCTGTCGAAGACGGCTGACACGCAGACGCCAACGGCGATCACTAGGACTGAGGCGATCAGCAGCTTGCTCACCTTCTCCTGGTCACCAGTGGGGATAAACAGAGCGAGATCGATGGATGAGGAGGGAAGGAGGAAGAGGAGATGGAGGAGCTATAATGAGGAAGATAATGGGGAGGATGAGCAGGGAGACGATGAGAACGAGGAACAAGTGGTGCGCAATGCGGTCCCAAATTGCGGCATGTTGACGCAGCACGGAATTCCGTACAACGTAACTTGGCAGTGCAGGGTGAGTGTGTGTGTGTGCGTTGCGGTTTTGTGTGCTACATACACGCATGTGCGCATGGCCGTTGTTCTGCGCGTGCGTGCTATCATTAATTTTCCATACACGGTAGATGCGTGCCCCTACTATCAACAGAGCCAGACGAGGATGGCGACGGTGGATCGGACCAGCATTATGAGCGCGAGGGGGCGCTCATTGACGAGGAGCCAGGCGAACAACAGCACCATCACAATCGTCATGCTCTTCAGAATCTGGATTTCGGGAACAGAGATGAACAGGAACGCGTACATGCCCAACGTCTGCGGGCGGATGAGAAGGAAGATGAAGAGGCAACGGGCAAGGGGGGAAACGGAGAAGAAAAGCCAACATTAGAGAATGGAAGATGGACGACAACTGCCAACAGATTGTGCCCGGCAGGGTCTGGGGAGCGTCACATTACCCAAACCCCGCCCAGAAGCAGACAGTCCTCTGGACGACTGCGAGGCCAGGACGTCGCACGAGAAGCAAGAAGGAAGAGAAGGCAAGCCAGACACGAAACGGACACACGGTGGCGTGTCGGAGAGCGCGCGACGGAGGCAACGCTTCAGTCGCGTGGGTCGCCGCATTGAGACGAGCGTGCATTGTTTTGCAAACGCATCGGCTACACGCAAGAATGACCCCAATCGAATGTGACCTCTAGTGCGCGGAATGAGGGCGGGCGACGGGACGTCAACCCCAAGCGAGCAAGCCGATGCATCGATCGGGGAACCCCAGCGGGCCCGCACTCAGGCCAAGGGTCACTCTTGGTGGACGCACAGAGGCATACTAATACGATATGACCTCCTTGGAGGTGCGCGTCCGACCCGAACATATGGTATACCCATCTTGTAGTATATCGTTTCCCGAGCGGTGTGGCCAGAAAGTGCCCGCCACGACGCATATACTAGAAGATTTCTCGGTGCGCGCGTCGCCCCATGGGGGGGCGACGCATACGTAGTATAAGTATGTTGGGGTGACGCCGATCTTACGCGCAGCCAGACATACTCTGCAAAATAATGCCCTTCTGCCTCGCCAGCTTCGCGATGCATCCGGCGGGCTGATCCGTACACGGACACAATGACGGGGGTGGTGGTGACTGAGACTCGCTTGAGCTCTGACTAGAACCCCGGCAAGCACCGCATCATCGGCGAGGGGAATTTTCCCAGCCGAGGACAGCCTGTCGAGCCTCGACGCAATCGAGCCGACGGCGGGCGGCACCAAATTCCTTTTCAGGCCACTGAGCACCGAGCGAAAGCATCGAATGAGTCACCACATCATGGGCGCTGCTTCGTTTTACTCGCGATACAAACAGGATCAGCGGTGTGCAGAAGAAGCCAGTGCCGACGACGACCCTCCGCCCCTCCCACGCACAATTACATCACGAGAATCTGAAAACATGGAGCTGGATACGCGTGCGGGGGTTACGAAGGACAACAGCCCCTTGCTGGATGCACGTGCGCAACGCTTGCGAACCCGGTCATGGAAGGGCCGAGCGCCAGAAAATGATGCGGCCACATGGGTACAGTACCCTACTCTCGCCGAGGAAACGTCGTGCGCATTCAGGCTCCTGGTAAAGACTGGGTTGACGTGGGCTGTGCCCAAAATAATGCGCTTCAACTGCGGCCCCCCAGCAGCTCGCGAACTGGTTTGGGCAGGTCTCTGCCGCTTAGATGGCTGCCTAGGGGGGAGTGGGAGGGGAATGGAGAAGAAGGGTGATGAAAATAAGTGGGGCACTGCTGACAGAAAAGAGGGAGGCGTGAGGACGCAAGACGGAGAAGGAGCGGAGAGGAAGGGCCAGACTCGGGCGCGGGAGCTCGGCGCAACAAGTCCTCAACATTCACATGGTTGACGGTGCGCGAGGAAAACAGAATGATTAATAATAGTGAAGACGACGAAGCTATGCACACCGGTCGGAAGAAGATCGAGAAAAAGAAACTCAGTCGCTTCGAGCAGACTGAGCAGACTGAGGCTCGGCCTGCCCCCGTCAAAGGAAATCCCATGGAAAGCCATCGATTCAAGAAGTGGAGTGTATCCATAGTCAGACAGATTATTATCTGGCTGGGAAGAGGTGGTTCGGCAGTCGTCTGGGTTGCAAGCAAGATGGGTACTGTAATCGTTGATCGCTGGTTACACGAGTATGACGAATATCAATTCCACGTTGTGATACAAACACGCGTGCCCATGGATGTGGACCTATACTTAAGCGAGCGGGAGATATTGGATACTCCGTTTTGCAGTAGCTTGACTGCAACGAGGGATCTAACTGCGGTTGTCCTGTGCGATTGCCTCGCGGCTGTCCAGAAGATGCCGTTCCGTCGCCTGATGCGGATTGACCGAGTTGACCTTGTCGACTGAACGCGTTAGTACGGCACGTATCAAGCACGTAATTCGAAAAACCGCACGAACACTCAGATATGTGAAGTCGGCATGCAAAGTACTGGAACGCCATGTGAAAGAACGCGCAGCAAGCTCAGTGAACAAGTGTGAATCAAAAGTGTTGTGTAGACACACCTTAATAAAGCCAGGTCTTTACAAGGGAATGTATATCCTGCGCAACGAATGGGTCGTTCGACTGGGAGCTGAGATATGCCATGCGCAAGTATACCAATCTCTCACTGGGCCCTCTGGGAATGTGTTTGGGCGAATTTCTTGTATCTTGCGTGATGTGTTGTCTTTTACTTCTTGCTTGCTGTCCCTCCAGCGCTGCCAATGTGTTGGTGCCTGCTGCGGGGGCGCGGTCGCGCAACAATAAGCGCCTGGGCAATCACTGGGGTTGAGGTCAGTTCACCCTCCTGGCCACGGTTGTTTTTTTCAACGCAAGGGCCCCCCCACAACAATTCACCTGAACGCGTCGACCGTCCCACATCGATACACATTACATGGCCGAGTGCAGTCGTCGCGAAAGTGCCCACGCTCTGGGAGGGGCTTCGGCAGGCCCCGCAAAGTAAATTTAGCCTAGCCAAGGACCGAACCACATGCAGATGTGAGCACCGCGATTGTGAATCACATCACCGGTGGAGCTTCCTATGAGGCCACGAAACGTGTGAGGAGTGTGCCGGAATGTGTGGCGGAAGTGCATGCGAACGTCGCCAATCGGGCCGCTGGTGGAACTCAATTTGGGTCCGTGAAACGCTTGAGGGGTGTGCCGAAATGGGTGGCGGGGACACATGCGAATGGCACCATTGGGGTCTTAAGTGGAGCTTCCTTTGGTGCCACGAAACGCGTGAGAGGTGTGTCAAAATGGGCGGCGGGGCGCATGCGCACAGCACCACTTGGTCCCTCGGTGGAGCTCTCTTTGGGGCCATGGAACGCTTGAGGGGTGTGCCGAAATGAGTGGCGGGGACGCATGCGAACGGCTCCATTTGGGCTCTCGTTGGGGCTCCCTCTGGGGCCACGAAGCGTGTGAAGGGTGTGTCGATAGGAGTGGCGGGGGCGCATGCGAACGGAACCACTGGGGCCTTGGGTGCGGCTGCCTATGTGGCCACGAAACGAGTGAAGGGTGTGCCGAAATGGGTGGCGGGGATGCATGCGAACGGCACCATTGGGGCCTTCTGTGGAGCCCACGACGGGGCCACGACACGTGTGCGCCACGACACGTGTGAGGGTGTGCCGAGATGGGTGGCGGGGACGCATGCGAACGGCTCCATTCTGGCCCTCGGTGGGGCTCCCTCTGGGGCCACGAAGCGTGTGAGGGGTGTGTCGACAGGAGTGGCGGGGCGCATGCGAACGGCACCACTGGGGCCTTGGGTGCGGCTGCCTATGGGGCCACGAAGCGTGCGAAGGGCGTGAAGGGATGGGAGGCGGATGCGCACGGCACCGTTGATGTTTTGGGTGGAGCCCCCCATTAGGCCACGAAGCGCGTGAAGGGTGTGCCGAAATGGGTGGCGGGGATGCATGCGAACTGCACCATTGGAGCCTTCTGTGAAGCCCACGACGGGGCCACGACAAGTGTGCGCCACGACGCGTGTGAGGTGTGTGTGTGTGTGTGTGCTGAGATGGGTGGCGGATACGCACGCGAACGGCTCCATTTGGGCCTTAGGTGGAGCTCCCTGTGGAGCCACGAAACGTGTGAGGGGTGTGCTGGAATCGATGGCGGGGACGCTTGCGAACGGCACCATGTTGGTCCTAGGTGGAGCTCCTTATAGGACCATTCATGTGAGCGGTGTGCCGGAATAGTTGACATGCGGCGGGCAAAAGCACGGTATCGAGGGCAAGGTCCGTGGCGTCGCTGCCTCACTGCACCTCACACGCGCACCGCTCAGCGTTCAGCCGCCGACCCACGTCCTCCACAATGCCAGGATGCACCCAACTCTCTGGGCATCTCACCTCCACCCGCGCAGGCGCAGGCGGTGGTGTTGGCGCAGGCTCCTCGGCGTCGAACCCCGCGTCGCCGCCGTGGCAATGGCGCCGCGACGCAAGATAGTCGCGCAGCACGAATGTGAAGCAGGCAAGTGTAGCTCCCGCCGCACACTGCATGCGGCTGAAAACTCTCAAGCCTAGGCGACTACTGAGAGACACGATGAGGTGATGAGACCGACATCACCAAATCCGCTAAGCCATTCATGCGTACGCACCAACAAGAACAAATAGCTATCAACGCAACATGCTGTGTAACTCGCCAGCGTGATATGTTACATGCGTGACCCAACACGCCGATCAACATGACGGAACCGCTGCTTTGTTACTGGCACAACTACCGAGTATTCCAGCTGCCCAGTCCTTTCACGATCTACCTTGAGAACTCTATGTTCAAGGACCTCGCACTGCAGATTGTGCATGCGCATGGCCCTGGATGGGGAAGGATCGCTCCTCCTCATCGCGTCGCTTTGCCTCGCCCGCAGGCGCAACGGAACTGAAACTGAAATCCGAGACCGATCCTTCGGTCTGGGTCACAGTGGTAACACCCCGAACTGCCGATGTCTCCAATGGGGGAAGAACACCTGAATAGACAGGGCGAGCATGTGTCTCCCCGAATTGCCCTATTCCATCCCCTGCCTTGTCGTCGTAAGCGTTGTCGTGATCCCCCTCACCCCTTCCCCCCCTCCGCCTGTTCCTCCACGTCCTTCCCGTCATCGTACCCCTCCCCAGCCTCCTCGACATCATCATCGTCAGCAGAACTCTCAGTCAGGGGCCTGAGACTTTGGACGACCAAGAACAAACACTCATGCGATTCTGGACGTGGAGCGAAAAACCATGCCGATTGCAAAGAATGGTAACCGTTCGATGCCCAACAGGGAGGAACCGGAGGAAAATTGTCGCTGGTGCCCAGGGCCGTCGCTCTCTCCTGGCTCTCTCGTGGCGCGCCTGGGTCAGGAAGTTGAAGATGTTGATGGGCAGCACGACCTTCGGTCATTTCGCCGGCGACGATAGCTGCGAATAGCCAAGGGGCGGGCATTACGCGCATTCGCCCGGGAGCCTTCTCGAATGCATAGATCATCGGCGCACCTGAATACATGTATTGCTCTCCCCTGGGATATTTGCCCCTATCGTCGCCTCTGATCATTTGCAGACACGCACGCACCAAACTCAGCCACGCGCAAGAGGGACGCTGGGCAAGAGGGACCTCTGGTGCGCGGCATTGGGGTGCCGCGGGTGGGCCAAACCCAAGAGCGCCAGTGGACCCGCACCAAAGGTCCCCCCGGCGGTGGGCTGCTTTTACGCGCACATCCATTTTACACGCTCGGTCAGGAGGCCTTCCTGGAGACACTCGCTAAACTCATACGTCGATGCTGCGTCGAACGTCCGTCGACGTGAGTCGAACTTAACTCGAACGAAAGAGTCGAATTATGATGGACTGGATTCGTTCGGCGGGCCGCAGGAAGGTCTCCGACACGAGGAATCTAAATAATCAGACTCGACACCACTCGACTTTCGGGTCCTAACTCGGGTCCCACCCCCACAGCGCACTCGGCGAGGCGCAGCTGCTGGAGAGCCTCCCGAGGCAGGGAAAACTCCAGGAGCCAACGAACACGCCCGAACACTTACAGAAACAATCAGGCGCGACACTAGCCCAGAGATCCGATGCGATGCCTTCACTGCGGGATCCCTGGAAGTCCTGACCCTTCCCCCGGGGCCGCTTTTGCACCCCGATTCGTTCCTTGACGGTCGAAAACTACGAGGTCCTTCCAGATTGACATGTTCAACGCGCTGGAGGTCTTGGGTCCCCCCTCCGAGAGAGGCCCCCCCCGAGGGCCTCCGTGGGGCCCTCGGCAGCCCCCCCCGGGCCCCCCACGGGGTCCCGGGCTCCGCGGAGGGCCTCGGCGACCGAGGCCGCCCCACAAGCCTGCTCCACCTCGTCCTCCTCCTCCTCCTCGATCCTCGATTCTCGGTCCTCGCCCTGCCTGCTACGGAGGTCTCGGCCCTCGAACTTCCTCCTGGATCGTCCTCCTCCAGAATCCTTGTCCTCCTCCTCCTCCTCCTCCTCCTCCTCCTCCTTGACAGGGCAATGCAGCATGCGAAGCTTGCCTTGTAAGGGAGATACTGGTCTTCGCCTCCTCGTCCTCCTCATCCACTCTTCCTCTGGTTACTCCAGAATCTGGGCTCTCAGCTCCGTCTGGCACCTTCAGCTCCACCTCCCTGTCTGCTCTTCGCCATACTTCTGCCTCTGGCTCCTCCCGTCCCTCCTTTCTCTATTCTACCTCTTCGCAAGGAGGTGGGGAGGGAAGACAGAGAGAGGGATGGAGGAAGGCAGAACGGGGAAAGTTGGAGAAGGGCCTCATTGTTTCTCCGCCCTCCTGCGTCCTGGCTCACCACGGAGCAACTTGCAGAGCCCCAGACAGCCACCTAGCCACCCTCCTCCCCGCTCCTCCCTGCTATTGTTTCCAGGACGAGAGTGTACGTGGCGAGCGAGGACGAGGGGGAAGAGGAGAAGGATAAGCAGGAGGCAAAGGCTCAAGACAGATCGGCGACCGCAGCCGCAGGTCGCCTAACGGAAGCCCCATGGATCGCACTCCCTTGCCACCCTGGTACATCGACGCAGTTACCCCCGCCACCTCGTACGGCTCCCGTCGAGATTGCAGGCCCCAGTAGCCTCGAACAAAGGAGCAAGAAAATACCGTCCCTGGCGCCATCGGCCAGCAATGCGGCGGGCAAACCTCGCCCCATGCAGGCCGCCCCACTTTCCCCCAGGTGGCCGGTCCCGAAAGCACCCCTGAATCCAAGCATACGGATTGACGTCTCACTTCAACTTCTGCGGTCTTCTGCCGACCTTCCTGCGGCGGAGCCGCCGCCGTTCCACTGCTGCCGCCTTCCGCCTTGCCTTCCGCCGGGTTCCGTTGAGGGGCGAGACCGCGCCAAACGCGAGGCAGCCCTGACTGGAACGCTCAGGTGTCGCTTGAGGGACCATGCCAGCCATCGGGCGCTTCCATTCGGGAGCAGCTGGGGGGGACATTACCCGAGACGTACCCATGCCCCTCAGCACGATAGGCGCCTATTGATGTAAGCGCCTTCTGCCAAAGAGCATTGCGACACATGCAGCACTCGGGAAGGCGTCGCGGAACAATGTCGGGCCACGCGCGTCGCACACCTGTGCAACGTAGACCGGGGACAGAAGTGAAGGAGGAGGACAACAAGGGGGGGAGTGGAGGACACGGAGGATGGAGAAGGAAGCGGAAGAAATATGGGTAAGGGTAGCGTGGTAGCGGAAAGAGCTACGTCTGTTCGGTTCGCCCGCGCCACCGCTGCGGTCGACAGGCGCCTGAGAGGGGGGGAAGTGAGCACCACAGAGGACAGCGCCATGCGCTATGTGGCGCTCCAGCGCCCTGCGCTCTGTGATGCAACAGCGCCGCGCGCTGAATGACAGGCCAGCGCCACGCGCCATGTAGGCGCGCGCCCTGACGGCTGCACCCCGACTCCGCTGGAACTTCCAGGAGCCCACAGAAGCGGCGACAGTTGCGAAGTCCGCAGCCACCCAGGGAGCAGCAAGGTCTCGGCCGGATCTGCGTATCCCCTGGCTCTGCTGGACCTCCCAGGAGCCCACGAAAGCGGCGACAGTTACGCAGCTCGCAGCCACCTAGCGAGCAGAGAGGTCTCGACTGGATCTGCGTATCCCCCGACTCAGGTAGACCTCCAGTGGAGACAGTGGCGCAGCTCGCAGCCACCCAGGGAGCAGCGAGGTCTCGGTTGGATGCGCGTTCCCCGACTCCGCTGGACCTCTCAGGAGCCCACGAAAATGGCGAGCGCAGTCCGCAGCCACTCAGGGAGTGGCGAGGTCCCGCCTGGGTTGTGCCAGCAGCGCTCTAGAACCCCACACAAAAGGGTTGAGGAAAAAGATACCGGTTTCGATACTCCCTGGACCTCTCCCTGACTAGGATTTCGAGGAGAATCCAGCTATGGCGACGAGGGCCCTCTAGGACAAGCACCAAGCAACAGGAAACTGCAGAAACACCATTTCGGGGAGGTCCACGTGGATTCTTGGATCGGCGCTGGACCCCCCTGCCTGGCGCGCTCCGCGCGCCCAGGGCGGCGCAGGAGGCGCCCTTGGGGGGGCCATCGACGATCCAAGCAATCCACGCGGATCTCCAACAGCTTATGTTTATTTACGTACTACTCTTCTTCGAGACGAGGGCTCTCTATGACGAGCAACCTCTTCTGACTGCCACCGAAGGGGAAAGAACGGCACTGAGAAGCGAGAGGCTGACCTTGAAGTACCTATCCCAAGGGAGGCTCTTGACCTCGAGCGTCTTCCACCTGGCCCCACCGGAGGAGCCCCGTGCGAGGGGGCAGGAAACTCGACCTCTCCTGAGATCTGGTCATTGCATGCCTTCCACGTGCAAAAAGCGTGTTCACCCGGTGTCGGGCCCTGGGAGCATCACACATCGACCCGGCTTGAAAAATGCTGCAGGATGACGGGGTCAAAGGCTCTGGTCGTGATTTTCCGCGATGCACCATGTAACCGCAACGTCGAATCTCCGCCCTCTACTCTTGGCTCGCCTGGTGGCCTTCCACATGGCGGACCTGAGCACACCAGCCTGCTGGCCAGTATGCCCAAGGATCGCACGCACTGACCTGATCAAAACGGAGTCCCCAGAAGTCCCGACCATTTTCGGAGGCCAGAAAAAGGCACCAACACCAACACAGGGGTTGCCTCCACAGGGGAACGAGGATCCTAGATCTCGGTGTTGGTGGTCATATTTCGGCCAACTTGGAAGCCAGAATACGACCGCCATCACCCAGATCGGGATCTTCTTCCCTCGGCGGGGGCACACCGCCGATACTGGCGTTGGTGTCAACCTCCAGGCCTGCGACGTTTCCCGTGCAGGGTCCCGGGGCACGGCGAGGCCCCCGAGCCAGGTCGGGTGGCCGTGCGCCCAGTGGCGTGTCGGCAGGCGCAGCATGATGAGCGAATCCGCACTGTGGCCTTGAGTGTCGCTTATCCGATCCCCATCCCCAGCGGCGTGGCCTGGGCCTCACTGGCCGATCTACCCCCCTAGATGGGGATATGGGCCGTTCCCTTCGGGTTTCGAGGGGTGTATCCCCAACGGGGGGGGGGGGTAATTCAATGGGGGTCTCGAAGGGGATGGGGATGGGGATGAAGATCGGTTGTGCGATACCGAGGCCTGGAGGCTGATCACAGCGGCAGCAAATCCTTCTCGATTCTCTCAAGATGCCTTGGCGATCTGCGGAGCAGTTGGGTGCACTCGGCCGCACGCAACCCTGGCCTCGGCCGCGGTCGGCGCCCCTCCTCAGTCTCCTGGCGTCTGCCGCTGCCCCTGCCTCTGACACGCTTCCACCTGCCATCGCCGTCGCGGGAGACCGAGGGAGATCGCGGGAAAGTCCCTGGGAGGCGGCGGGAACTCTCAGAGTCCCCTGTGGGCTCCTCCAGGGGGCGGAGCGGGCGGCGGGGGCAGTGAGGGGATTACAATAGGGGCGGGGTGAGGAGAATCAGCTCCATATGCAGCCGGTTTTCTCGACGCCCCCTGGCGCCGGGGGCGATAATGCATTTCCATCAGCGCGGCGGGAGGCGGGCTGAAACCTGCCACATGCAGCAGATTTCGGCCTCCTCTGTCCCAATCCCCTCCCCCCTTTCTCGTCAAACACGACAGGGGGCCTCCAGGTCCATCTTTCGTCCGACACGACAGGGGCCTTCAGAGCCAGGCCTTCGAATCATACAATTTCTTATCGGCGCCCCTGCGTTTTTGTTTCAAAGGTTCGGCTTCCGGGGGCAAGTGACCTGGGCGCTTCGGTACTCACAGCTGGATCCTGGGGAAAACCGACGGACCCCAGTAGGGGCCTGGATTCCTGGCGCTTGTGGGCTGAACAAAAGCCATGTCGCTGGATGTCCAGAGATGCTTCCGCAGGCCCCATCGACGGCCAAAGCCAATCAAGAGCAGTGGATCCTCGATCTCCGAACCATTCGATATCTCAGCCGTTGCGGTGGTGCGCACGCAGCTTTGACATCGAATGACGTTCGCGCCCGCTGCCCCTGGCGGAGTAGCCGAACGGACGGAATCACACGGAGCTCCGCAGAGATCACGGGCACTCATCCTCGTCCTCGTCTTCGTCCTCTCTCACCCGCTCTTTATCTCCTTCTCTTCACTGATATTCCTTCGACTTGCTCCTCATCATCATCTCTCCTCCCCCCCTTCCTCCTCCGCCCTTTCTTCCTCCTAAGTCTTTTTCGCGTCGACCCTCCTTGGTCGTGCAATGAAGGGCAATTCGGGGGTCGGGGGTCGGGGGTATACCGAACTCCTGTAAGCAAACTCCTTTCCTAGGAAACATATCCAAGTCCCAGACCCGGCGGGCCCAGGCCGGCAAAAATACGGGCGCAACGCCGCAACGCCTCCTCGAGCGCCGCGCAGGCACAATTTGACCATCGACGTGGCAGGGCGGGGGTTCCATCAACCTTCGGCGGCGAGACCAGGAGGGGAAGTGAGAAGGAGCGGGCCTTCTCAGAAGGCTCGAAAAAGTCCCCCGATGCACAGAAAACTTCTCAGAAGGCGCGAGGGCTTCGGAGAAGTCCCGTCGCCTTCTGATAGGGCCTTCTCCTTCTCACTTCCCCCCTCGCTCGCCGCCGAAACCTCCGATCAAGGGGGGGCCGCGCTGCCCTCGGCGGAAGCCGTGCCGAGGGAGGGAAGGCCGCCCGTGCAGATGCTGACTTCGGGGCCGCAATCGGCGGACCCTGTAGCTCTGCGAGGATGCCCCCGAGGCATCCGCAGGCCATGGCAGAGCCCAAATCCTCCTCCTCCTTCTCCTGCTCCACCTCCTCGCCCTTTTGCTGCTCATCCTCTTTCCCCTCCTCCTCCTCCTCCTCCTCCTCCTCCTCCTCCTCCTCCTCCTCCTCCTGGCATGCAGCACGAGGCGCAACTGAACTCTGCACCTCATCGATGCAACTCGCCTCAACGCGGAGCGGCACGTGCTTGCGGGGCCGCCCACGCAACAACGTGCGCGAGGATTTCGTCCTCGTCCACCGCCTCCTTTTCCTCCTCCTCCCCCCTCCTCCTCCCCCCTCCTCCTTCCTCCTTATCCTCCTCCTTCTTCCTCCTCCTCCGCCTCGAGCACATTGTCCGTGCCGCCATGTTTCCTACTCATGAACTTGGCAATCTCCACCGCATTGTCTCTGAACCATCATCCCTGTGCTGCAGCAGTGCGGAGCGTCGTGCATTACATGCTCGATTCCAAGCTGCTGGTCTACCCATCAAGCTCTCCGACCGTGTTCGGGATCTGGGAGTAATGACCACGACGGGGAAAGCGAGGCTCACTGTTAAGCTCATGCAAACACGTGCTCGGGCCTCCAAGAAAGCCCACATGTTATTTTTTTACTCGCACTGTCGGGAGTGCTCGTGAGCTGTTTTAAGCCTAGGTTCCTGGCCGTCGGATCTTGGGGCCACCACGTCCTCGGGCATACCCCTGGGCGAATTCGGTCGATGCGCACGCAGGCTGCGACCTGCCCTGGGAGATGGGTCCCAGTGCACCACTTCTGTTCTGGCCCTGGTGAGCCCCGCCAAGGATGACCCCCAAATTCGGCCTCGATACGAGCAGCTCGCGACCTTTGCTGATGTTTGGAGCGGTCTGCCCCACCAGAAAAACATGTTGCTCGCCCGATACGGGGCGCATGTGTACTCTGTTGTCGCGGGGCCAATCATCGGTGGCATAGGGTCCGGGGCTATGTTGCAGCTACTGTCGCCGTCTTGCGTATAAACGCCCGAATTGATCCTATCAGTCCAACCAGTTGGAATTTTGAAGACGGCACACATGTACGATTCACTGACGCTGAGGTTCCACACGCTCTCTGGCAAGTTCTTCAGCGAGGAACATTTCCTGGAACGATGCCTCGGAGCACTAGTAAGGAGGAGGATGAACGGATTTCACAATGGTTCGGTATGATTTGCGCAAGTTTGAAACATTGTTCGCGAAGCAGCTGGTATGCTTCGCAATGTTATAACTGGAGGTTCCTGGACGGACTATGAGCCCAGGCAGGCTACAAGTTCTACACCAGAGGCCTATGCCCTCGATGTGGAGTTGCGCCTGAGACCGCGACTCTTCGTTCCTGGGGTTGTGCGTGCAATCAGGACAGTCAGGGCAGCTCTGTTGACAAATCCCAACACCTGGTTCAGGACGCCTTCAGCCAATCTGATAGAGCATCCTTTTGGATGAGAGGCCTCCCCCAGCTGTCTGACTCCGTTGGTCACCTCTCCCAACCTTGGTCCTCTCGTGGGAGTGGGACTGCCTCTTGGGCGGGGGCAGAGTGCCTGGGGGCGTTTGGGGAATCGATGGGTCAGGGGGTAAAATATCAAAACGATTGGCGTCTGAGGCGATGTGGCTGGGCGATGATCCACTTCGGTGGGCACTGACTTTTTGATGGCGTGGCCAGCGGCACCTTGCCGACTAAGATACAGAGTTCTGTCTTATGCGTTGATCGAACTTGCAAGGCGTTCTACTGGACACTGCCGTGCTCATTGTGGCAACATGTCGGTCGCGCGTGGCTCCCACAAGCCCCTCTTGGCCAAAACAGAAATCCAGTATGCTCGACCACTGGAAAACATACCATGATGTTCTGACTCTCAGTGACGCTTCGATTGACGTTCGATGCTCTAATGGACACCCCACCCAGGCCCAATGCCAGAATCTGGTTACAAGTAATGTTGCGTTTTATTTACAGCAGCCTGCTGATTTTTTTCGCCGGGACGCCTCTGGACATGTTGGCATCCCTGAGGACCTTGTTCGGAGGACCCGATTGGCCGATGACAAGGCCAGCCTTGTTTTGAACCGTTTGTTGTCTGCCCAGCGTCAATGTTTGTTTCAATCCTAGCTTGAAGGACCCGGCAGGGTCACTCAGGAAACGATTCGCCAGGTTTCTGCCCTTGAAGAGAAGTGTTGCAGGCTGGCCATGTTTGAACATCGAATGGTCATTCGCCCTTCAATCCTGAAAAGCTCCCTCTGCTTTCGGTCGTGTTTGGAGAAAAGGCCAGCTTTAAGAATTCTGCCCATCCCCCTGCAAGCCTAGAGCTCAGATTGAGCAACGGGTGCAGCGCCTTCCTGACCGACCACCTCATGATTTTCCAGGCGGGAACAACCCGCCTGACGACCTAGGCCAACCGCCTGGGGAGGGGAGCACGGCAGAGAGTGCGCTCGATCACCCATGTGCTGAGTTGCGTCGCCCATCCATCACCTTGATTTTCTTCGAGGGGCGTTGTTTAGTCAGGCTTGCGAGAGGCATTGCGCTGAGTTGCCGCGTGACCTCGGGAATGAATGTGCCCCTCCCGCGAAGACAGGTCATGAGGTCCTCTCTCGTTCGTCTCGTGGCCTCCCACCCAAATCGGGCGACACATTCCCTGAGGTTTGCTGGTCTGCCGTAGCACGCCCCGCCCAGCAGCAGGCACACACGCCAGATGTTGTAATAGAATACAACGCCTCCTCCTCCCCCTCCTCCTCCTCCTCCTCCTCCTCCGCCTCCTCCTCCTCCTCCCCCTCCTCATCCTCCTCCTCCTCCTCCTCCTCCCCTCCTCCTCCTCCTCCTCCCTCCTCCTCCTCCTCTCCTCCTCCTCCCTCCTCCTCCTCCTCCTCCTCTCCTCCTCCTCCTCCTCCTCCTCCCCCTCCTCCTCCGCCTCCCTCCTCCCTCCTCCTCCGCCTCCTCCTCCTCCTCCTCCTCCTCCTCCTCCTCCTCCTCCCGTTTCTCTCTTCGCGCGCTGCCGCCCGTCTGGCAGGGCGGGCACCCGCCGGCGGCGGGCTCAGCGCTGTGGAGAGGTGGCGCTCTCCCCGGGCCAGCCCGGGACCCCGTCGCCGAACCGCCAAGGCGACGGCATTGGCGCCCACCGAGGCTTCGAGGATCTACGGTTCGAGGATCTCCAGGGGTGGAGGGTGCGAGGCCCTCAGGATCAATGTTCCCCATGGGGATCGGGGCGCCGAGGCGTCGAGGGCCGAGGCTCCAGGCGGAGGGGGGGGGGAGGGGGGGCGCACGCGGCGGAGATGTCACCAGCGAGCACAGCGACCACGCGAGGCAATCAGTCGGGCACGCCTGGCAAAGATAGATCGAACATAAATGGGAAGCAAAGAGTCAGGCTGGGCCCCAGGGAATCCCAGTCTGGAGCAAACGTGGCAGGCAAACGCTGGGCCACGGGCTGCACATGTCAGCATGGCACACGTCTCTTCATCCTAGGGATGATGGGCCACGACGGACCTGACCGCGAGGACTCGCCTCACCCATGCCGCCAAGCTGACCAGATCTCCCTCTGCCTCCCCCCTCACCAAAACTAATATGAGGTCAGGAAAGGGACAAAATGGGGCAGGGATAGATCGGGGATCTCTGAAATCCGGCAATTCTGCATGATGTATCGGGCGCCGCGGCCTCCACAAAACGTTCCGGAACGCTCTCAGGGCATTCGGGAACGCTCTGGAACGATTTATCCCTGTCCCAGCCTCGCCCGATCAAACTCGCATCCTCGTCCTCGTCCACCTCCACCTCGATCTGACCAGCCTTGCCACGGTGCTCGAGGATTGTGAATCAAAAACGTTTCTAATATTTTTGGAGGGGGTCGGCGCCGCACCCTCGCGCGCCACGGGTCGTGCAGGAAGCGCCACCGGGGGAGGGGGGGGGGCTGGCGCCGACCTAGGAGAACCGCGCGGATCCCCTTTTGTGTGTGTGTGTGTGTGTGTGTGTGTGTGCAGTGATATTCCTTCGAGGGACGCTGTGGCCCTGGGACCTGGGACTCCTCTACATTCTGCACCTCCAGCTCCTCCACCTCCGCGTCCTCCAGCCCCCCCCACTCCTTCCTCGCTGCCCAGGGGCACTCGAGTGGGTCCCCACCCCCGCCGAACGGGAGGACCCCCAGGCTTTGGGGTGGGGTCCCTGTGCGTCCGCGCTGCGGCAGCAAACTTGCCGGGCCACTCGCGCCTCTGGAGCACGCGGCCTCCCTCCGGAGCTGACGACAGGCGCTCTCGAGAGAACGAAACTGGACGGGGGGAGGGAGGGAACCCTCCCCGCTCCTCCTCCTCCGCCTCCCTCTCTCCCTTCCTCTTTCCCTCCCTTTCACATTTCTCCCCTCCGCCTCCCGACGGCCGTGTCGACCGTCGCGGTCTGCACGCGGCCCGCGGATAGACTTGGAAACGGGGGGGGCGCATGGTACTTGGCAGTGCCGCCCGTCTGGCCGGGTCAGACAACCTCTCCTCCTCGCCCTCCTCCTGCTCCTGTTGCTCCTGGGCCCACCGCACTATTTCCAAAGATCCAGAGGTCGATGCATCGATCTTCTGCCGGCATAGCTTTTGCAGCATGACCGTACATAATGCACTGCCAAATCAGACCATGATGGCGCTCAAGGTGTATCAAGGTCAACATCAAGGTCCCCCTTCCCCTCACCGTCCTGCAGCCCTCCGAAAATATGCTGAAACCGTGCGCCAGACCACACCATCTGGCGCGCCCCTCCTTTGGCAGACTCGGGAAGGGAAAATCGGATTCCCTGCGAGTTCCCCCCGCGGTTGGAGGGACTGCCTGCTGTTTTCTCAAAATACCACTGGTAACTGCTGATGTCGCCCCCCCCCCGCCTCCCCCTCCTTCCTCTCCTCCTGTATGCCTCCCCCTCCCGTCCCCTTCTCGTCCCCCCCTCGCCCTACGTGCGCCACGAGGCTGGCCGAGAACAAATACCGTCGCTCGGCATCGGTCGAGCATCAGTCGCGCCGGGCACCACCCTCTGCATGCGATCCCTGCACGCTCTTCACATTCACTTGGCATGGAATGGTGCGCTGCGGTTTGACTGCCTGACGGCCCAAGTCCCCACCCAAATGCTACAGCGGCGCGGGTCACGATCATGAGGAAAACGTTCCCCAAGCTGGCAAGAAGAATCGGGAAGTGGAACTTGTGGTTCCTCGCGCTCGCCACTCACTACCCTTGCCCATGTTCAAAACTGGTTCTGCAATTCTATCTCCGACGGTGACCTGTTCTTGCCGCGCGCATGCCCCTCCTGCGCATGTCTATCGTCCCCATGCGAAGTTTCTGACCTACTTCGCTTCCTACTTGCAAGCTTAAGTTGTCCACATCGCTTTCTCGATCCTTCTCCCAATCTCTCTCTTTCTTTCTCTCTCTCTCTCTCTCGCTCTCCTGATCCATCTCCCTCGCCCGACGCGACCCCCGCTCGTGCACAAACGCGCAGACCGCCGACGCCCCGGAACCCAGCAACCCGAACAGCCCTGGGGCCGCCCTGCGCGGCCTCCGGAGGTCCGGAGGTCCCCCGAAGTGTTCGGAGGCTTCCGCAGTACAGTCGTCGTACTACCATCACGAACAATTATAGGGAACGCTTATTTTTTTCTGGCCTCTGCGGCCCTAGGTCACAAACAAGTTCTACGATGTAAGTCCAAGGAACGGCCTCGAGATGGCTTACCACATGCGCGCGAAGCTCCACATCGCTGGGCCCCATCCACCCGCACCCACTGAAAGCGCAATGCGTATGCGGCAACATTACGGCACCTTGCGAGAAGATGCCCACGCCTTCCAAGGTGACTCCGTGAACGGAGACAGCCTGGACGGCGGGGTCGTCTTTGATGAGCCCAGTGCACGCCCTCAGGCCCGCATCCCTAGTTCCGCGGCCCGCGTCCGCGGACACACGCCCGTTGTCGACGACGCGGACGCGGTGCACGTGCGCTGCGCCCGCTCTCCCCCGGTCGTCGTTCTCTGCCAACTGGCCCTTGCCCGTCTCTATGCCGCCCTGACCCGCGTCGCCCCCAGCGACGCTCGTCGCCGCGCTGAGAAACGACGCAATCACTGGGCCGAATATTTTCTCCGCGTGGCGCTCCTGGCTTACTTTACCTGATTTGCGCGCCCGCTCTCGGCGGGGCGCAGGGTGCGGAGGAGGCGGCGGGGGCGCCGCCTGGTCGGTCAGCCCCGCGCAGTCTTCGCGCGCAGAACCCGACGCCTGCGCGCCTCTGCGAGCACCCAACTCGTCTGCCGCAGCTGCGTAGCCGCTGCTTGCGCACGCACGCGTCGAGCGCGCGCGCTTCGGCCGCGCAGACGCTCCGGCCGCTGCGCCTGCCGCGGCGTCGCTGTCGGGGCATGTGCCCCCGGTGTGACGCCATGCTGGTTTATGCACCGTGCTGGTGTCGTTATATAATTCACGCTGGATCATGGGGCGCACAACGACCGTCTCTTCGACGATGGGCGTCCGTCGTAACAACGGGCGTTCGCTTTCCGATTCGGCTCGTTGACACAACACTTTCGCGCCGCAGTCCGCCCCCACTTGGCCATCGGACCCCGAGGGCGCGCAGACGACGATGTCGTGGGCCCGCGCGCTGTCTCCTGCTCCATACTGCTGAATCGCGTGCCTCGCGGTCTCTCCCGCGTGGACCACGCGCCGCAAGTCGTTGCCGTGCGTGGCCAGGTTCAGCCATGAATCATCTGCGTGGCGCAGGTGTTCGACGCGCGCGGCGCGCGCGGCGCCGCGCGCGTCAGCGCGACTAAGCGCTGACGCGCACAATCCAGCTCGCGAGAATACCTGCAACGTGCTATCCGCCAGGATCGCCATTGCACCGTAACTCCAGCCCTGCCCTATCGTGACCCCACTCCTGAACGGCTCCTCCACCCGCATTCCGTCTGTCTTCGCTTCGAGAATGACAGACGCCGTCAAAAAAAAGCCACGGACTTCACAGCATGCTCCTCCGCTTGCCTGTGCGCGTCGGCCATTCCGGATGCCTGGCGGAGCGCGTCGCGCGAAATGCCCCACCCCGGACATTCGCGCGCCCGCGCCTCGCGCAGCGCGCGGTTCATGGGCCCGCCGCCCCCCGACGTCTGCCACGCATGCGCCAGAAGCTCGGGCGGCACGAACTCCCCCCCTGCAAAACAACTCCCGTCGACAGCAGTGCCCGCCCTTCTTCGAACAACGACAGCGCGCGACAGTCTGCATCGCGCAGAGCGCGCACGGGGGCCACCAAATCGCCTGGAATCATGTGCAAAAACTCTGCCGAGCCCTCTCTGCTGGTTTAACCCTTTTCTGATAAATTCGGCTCGTTTTCCTGGGAGACCGTTGGCGACGACCCCCGTCGCATCTCCTCGGACATCCTGATGCCGCGACTTCCCCGGACATCCCCGCGCCTTCGCGACCCCGTTGCGTTCGCGCCCTTTTTTCTGGCCGGCGCTGCGCTCGCCCCGCGCGGCGGCGCTGCTATTGCATGCCGCGCGCTGCTTGCGCAAGGCCACTGGGAGCTGCGCATCGGCCCATAACGCTCGCCCCTGGAATTGCGCCCCCTGGAAATGCGAAGGCCCCGACCACCGGGGCGCAAGCCGGCGCGGGAAACGCCCCCGTTCGCTGCCGACATTTTAGACGCAGCTCCGCGAGTCAGGCGGCAAGCGGCCACTGGACACCAGGACTGCTACTTCGAGCCTCTCGCTCAAGCGGCGCGCGTCCGACTGCGCGCCCTGGCGCGCTCTTCCTGGCTGGCTCGCCCCGCCCGCCAGTTCGTCGCGAAGCTGCCGGGGCCCTTCTGTCCGGTGTTCGGGGCTCGGACGAGGGCGTGCGCGGGGCTGCGCCGCCGCGCCGTGCATCCGCGTAACTCGCGAGGGCAGCGGCGTCGCCATCGGGTTCGTCGTGCCGCGCGTGGACCGCCTCTGGGACGTCGCCTGGGGTTGCCAGAGCTTGCAAAGAGCACTCGCGCAACGCAGGGTCCGGACCCCACGGGCCCAGGCGGGGGCCGCGGTCTTTCTGCATACGCGCGGCAAGAGCGAAATTCAAAAGGTCCAGGTCGCACCACGCGTGGAACACCCGCGCAGCTTCGCGCCTTTGCGCCAGAATGACGGCGCCCTTGCCTGCCGCGGACGCACCCATGGGAGTTTTGACGAGGACGCGCCGCGCAGGCTCGCCACCCTGCAGCATAATGCGCCCAAGGGTGCCCACGAGGCTGAAGAACAGGCAGTCGCCGCCTCCACCGAACTCCACGCTCTCGAGATCGCAGAGCGACGCCGCCGCGGAAGTCTTCACCGCGGAAACGTACCGCTGCAATTCCGACGACACGGGGCAGAATGCTCGCCGCGCCCAACAGGTGTGACATGGCCGCGCTGCAAGCTGTTATCCTGGTATTTTTTCTCCGCTGCAGTCCCCCCCATCGCTGCGAGCGCCTTCGAACTGAACCTTCCAGACGGCGCTGCCCCGCCGCCCCCCGACCGGCGCCGGCCGCGAAACGTCGCCATGGTGCCTGCTCCAGATCGCATGCCGCACAAGGCGCTGCGCCTACGCGCGGCCTGAACAACGTGGCCTTCGGACAGCCAGACAGCAGACCCGATGCACCGGCCGCCCGGGTCACCCAGACGCGGCCGGAACCGCTCCTGTCTTTCCAAGAGACCTACGACATTCTCTGCTTCGTACATCCGCGCGAAGACCTTCCGCTGGCATAGCCACCGCTGGACTGCGCCCACGTTCTGTCTTGGCACTGGATCCATCCCGCCTTCGCCAGACCACGCGTTGCCGGGGCACTCGCGCGCAGAAAATCGCAGCGTCGCGGCGCCCGCGGCCCTGCTGCACGCGCACAACGGCAACGTGTAAACACATGTTGTTCCATGGTCCCGCGAATGTTTCGTCCGACGCCAGGGCCCCCACGGACGTCGCCAGCGCGCAGGGCGCGCGCACCGCCCGCGCGACAGTGGCGCGCAGCATTCCATGACTCACTGCCTCATGGCGAGCAGAGCCGTTGCGCGCGCGTTGCGAAGCACTCACCCCAGTCGTCGCTGCCCCGTCGCTGCCGGCACAACGGCCGCTTCACGCCGATGCCATGCGGGCGCCACGCGCAACCAGCGCGAGCGCCTCGAACACGGCGCGCATCGCGGCAACGGACCACGGCGGCGAACCGCCGCAACCCGCGCAGATTCGATGAGAGCCCGAGCGCGACGAAACAAAGCGCGCGCCAGACATCGAAGCACGATTCGGCAACGACGTCGTCCGTCTGGCCTTCTACAGAATTTCACCGCGCGCGTGCGACGCGCCCGCCGAGTCGCGGCGTCCGCGCCCGAACCATCGACCTCCTCCCACCAGGACTCTCGCGGGCCCCAGCACCCCTCCCGGCGACGCCGCTGACGCCGCCCGCCACGCTCTTCAGCTGCCGAAAACTCGGTGCCACTGTGTCCCCGCGGTCTTCTGCGGCGCCACCCGCGCGACTCCCCTAGACCGCCGCGTTCGTCGACTTCTCCTCAGCCGACGACCCGCCCTGCTGACCAAGTGACCTTCCTCGGTCCCGTTCGGGTCGCGCTCCGTCACCGCGTCGGTCATCGTCTTCGCCCGCGCGCCCGCCTGCCCGACGTCGGCTTCGGTGCCGTCGTAATCGTAGCGCGCGGTCACCTGCCGCAAACCCCCAACCGAGATCACCTTCGCTGAAAAGAATTCGTCGCCGCATTTTCCCTCCACGCACTCGCTTGATCGGGCCTCCACCGCCCTCTCCTGGATTTCCTCGCGGACCACGTCTGCCATGCCGCAGTCGCGCCGAGCCAGCGCCGCGCCCCCGCCGTTGTCCAGAACGGCCACCGCTAGAAAATAATAATAAGGAAACACAGAGAAACGCATCCAGGCATTTGACTTCCACCGGATCCCACGGAGCAGCAAGTCGCTGGAACACTCGTCGAAGGCGTGGGGGCCTTCGCCCGAATGTTGGAACGAACGAACTCCCACTCGCCGCTGCACCCCTCGAACAGCATCCGCACGCCCCCCGCGCCGCGGCCCCCAAGGACTACCGCAGGGGGGACTTCGTCGCCGCGCATGGCACCTACGGCATCGCCGCGGGAAAACGCAACTCCGCCAGCTTGGCTTGCGCCAGCGTCGCCATTCCCCTTTATGCGCGCCGCCGCGGCGAAGAACGCGTTGTAATATATTGCGCCAGTGTCGTCTGCGCCTGC